CCCACACTCTCAGTCTTTAAGTCTCGCTTGAAGACCCACTTCTATTCGCTTGCCTTTAACACGGTGTGATTTGTTTGGTCCTGTCTGTTCTCTACACTGTTGGCCATTTTAGTTAGCTTTTGCTGCTATTTGTATCTGCATTTTTATTTTATGTTTTCCTGTCCACTGTGCATGTTTGTTTTCTTTTGTACAGCACTTTGGTTGGCCTTGTTGCTGTTTTAATTGCTCTATAAATAAATTGGTATGGTATGGTAAGTGTCCCTGGGCAAGACACTGAACCCTTCATTTCCTCTGATGTGTGTCCCATCAGTGACGTGAAAGTCTCCACAGATTCAGATTAGCTTTGTAGAGATGTATGAGTGATGTATGAATGTGTGTGGAGGTAAATGATGGCACATATTTTGTTGTAAAGAGCTTTGAGTTTCTTGAGTATCTGGTGTTTTACACAATAACACTGTCTGCCATTGTAACCAGACTTCTGTCTATTTTCACAGTAAACTACCAAAAAGGGTCAAGAGTTTTTTCACTGACAGGGTGAGTCTGTGATTTATTTATATTTTATTCTGTATTTGAGCTGTGAGAACCGTAACATCTTAACATTGTCTTTCAGTCTTTAGAAAACCTGCGGGATCAGGAGGAAGCTCGCTCCAAGCGGCACTCCACCTCCGAGCTGGGAACCATCACAGTCAGTGATGTTCGCAAGGAAGGCTGGCTGCACTACAAACAGATCCTTACAGAGAAGGGAAAGGTAGAGTTGTAGTCCTGGACAAACTGTCTTAAAACTGTCAGAACCAGGCTGCAGACAGATTTAATCGCACCTAAGCATCACTGAAGTGATGCTGAGAAATACAATAGTATCAAATACAGTTTGTGCTGCTGCATTTTTAGATGATGTGGGGGTAGTCAAGTCAAGTCAAGTCAACTTTATTTATAGAGCGCATTTAAAACAGAACCTGTTATCAAAGTGCTTAACAACAGCAACAATCAATGAGTAAATTAAAGAGAAAAATATATAAACATATATATACAATACACTAATAATAATAACTGAAGAATTAATAAAAAGCATTTAAAACATAGGGTCACAGATTAAAAAACACTAGATCAATTTACACTGAGTGAAATGCCTGAGAGAACAGATGTGTTTTTAGCAGAGATTTGAAGTGAGGAAGGGAGGTGGCCTGCCTGATGTTGGGGGGCAGGTTGTTCCAGAGTTTGGGGTCCATGACTGAAAAAGCCCGATCTCCTCTGAGCTTCAGTCTTGTTTTTGGAACAGCCAAAAGCAGCTGATCGGATGATCTCAGGGCCCGAGAGGGAACGTAATGTTCCAGAAGCTCAGAGAGGTAAAGGGGTGCGAGGCCATTTAGGCATTTGAAGGTCAACAGTTGAATTTTAAAGACTATCCTCGTACGAACAGGGAGCCAGTGAAGGGAGGACAGAACTAGAGTAATATGTTCAGACCTACGACTTCCGGTTAAAAGCCGAGCAGCAGCATTCTGGACGAGCTGAAGTCGTGAGGTGGAGGCGTGGCTGACCCCAGCATACAGTGCGTTGCAATAGTCCAATCGGGTCGTGACAAAGGCGTGGACTAGTTTCTCAAGGTCGGGTCTGGACAACACTGGCTTGAGTTTAGCCACCTGTCTGAGTTGGAAGAAGCTTTTCTGCAGAACAGAGTTGATTTGTTTGTCAAACTTGAAATCAGAGTCTAAAACCATCCCGAGATTTTTACTAAACTGCTTCAGATATGGCTGAAGAGAGTCCAGGTTGACAGGATCAGTGGTGGCAGTTGAGCTAGGGCTAAAGACAATGACTTCAGTCTTGCCATTGTTAAAACTTAAGAAATTTGAAGCCATCCAGGCCTTAATGTCGTCCAGACATTTTAACAGAGGGTGAATGGAGCAAACACTTGCTGGTTTCACAGGCAGGTAGATCTGACAATCATCAGTATAGCAATGGAATGAAAGACCATGTTTCCTCAGGATGGACCCCAGTGGGAGCAAATAAAGTGAGAACAGAAGGGGTCCAAGAATCTAACCCTGTGGGACCCCGCAAGAAAGAGGTAATGAAGCGGATACATTATTATCAACCTTGACACAAAAACTCCTGCCACTCAGCTTTGAGCAGAACCATTCTAATGCAGCAGCTGTGATCCCAACCCATTGTTCCAGCCGTGATATGAGGATACTGTGGTCAACAGGATCAAAAGCAGCAGTAAAGTCCAGGAGCACAAGTACCAAAAACTGACCAGAATCGTTTGATATCATAATATCATTACAAACCCTTACTAATGCTGTTTCAGTGCTGTGGAGTTGCTTAAAACCAGATTGAAAAATCTCGAAGAGTCTGTTCTCATTTAAAAATTTGTTTAATTGAATAAAAACTATTTTCTCCAAGATTTTGGACAGGAAGGGAAGTTTTGAGATTGGTCTGAAATTTGAGCAAGTCGAAGGGTCAAGTCCAGGTTTCTTAATTAACGGATGAACTACTGCATGTTTAAAAACATCGGGAACCACACTTGTCACAATACTACTATTTATAATAGTAAGAACAGAGGGTCCAATTGTGGGTAGAACTTGTTTGAAAAACAACGCAGGAATGGGGTCAGCGGGGGAACCGGAGGGTTTCATCTGACCAACGACTTTGTTTAGAAATGGGAGTGAAATGGGTTCAAACTGTTTGAAGACAGCTGAGCAAGGGACAAAGACAGAGGGGTCAGTTGTGGACTGGGGGATGGATGACCTAATCAACTCTACCTTATCAGCAAAGTATCTGGTAAAGTTGTTGCAGATGTCAACGGAGGCCTCCATGCTGGCAGACCGAGGCACGTTTAAAATGGAATTTACGGTATTAAAAAGAACACGGGGATTATGACTGTTTGAAGCAATGATTTGGGAGAAGGATTTGTTCTTTTCAGATTTAACGATGCTCTGATAATCTTTCAAACATTTTTTTACCATAATAAAAGAAACCTGTAGTTTATCCTTCTTCCACTTGCGTTCAGCTCTCCTGCATAGACGTTTGGCTGCTTGAGTGGTCACGTTCAGCCAGGGGTGTGGTGCCCGCTTTGGTCGCCTGATTTTTAGCGGGGCCACGAAGTCTAAAATCTTACAGCAGGTCGCATCATGCCTACTGAGCAGCTCCTGCGTACTAATACAGCCAGAGGTTTCAGGGACTGAAGCAGCATCAGTAAGGAATGCAGAGGAAAAAAGAGCAGCGGTTGAAGAGTTAAATATCTGACAACTCCTGGCTGGAGCGGAGGATTTAGACTCATGAATAACAGAGGTTTGGAATGAAATGGGTTTGTGATCTGAAACAATAGCATCCCCAACTTCCAGATTAACCACAGATAAACCGTGAGACAGAACTAAATCAAGTGTATGGCCCTGTTGATGAGTTGGACCAACAACATTTTGCACAAGGTTGAAAGATTGTAGCAGATTTAGAAACTCAAGCACCAAAGGCTTGTCAGGACAGCAAATGTATACATTAAAGTCTCCCAGAATCAAGACCCTGTCGTAATTGAGCAGTATTCCAGTCAGAAAGTCAGAAAATTCACTTATGAAGTTTTTGTTGTATGAGGGTGGTCTGTAGATCAGGCTGCATAGTGTTGGGTTGGAGCGGCCCGGCTCAAAATACAGCAGTTCAAAACTCTGAAATGTCACAGCCTGTAGCGGTCTGCAGTTCTAGAGCTTTTTAAAAACTGTTAATAATCCACCACCCATACCAGAAATCCTTGGAGCATTAAAAAAGGCAAAATCCACCGGCAAATGTTCAGAAAAAACACTTAACTCACCAGGGACGAGCCAGGTCTCTGTAACAAACATGAAGTCCAGTTCATTGGAGCAGAAAAAGTCGTTTAGGATGAATGATTTATTTGTCAGCGACCTCACGTTCAGCAGAGCAATCTTTGTAGGACCAGTAGATGAAGGTAAAGCTGTGCTCCGAGCACAGATCAGCTGTTTCAGATTTTTGGAGTTTGAAGCACGCCTCCAAGGACCAGAGACGCCGCAGTTGTGCGCGCGCCCACAGCGCGGGACAGCCTCGACTACGGGGATCAGGCAGGACCCAGCAGGATCAGCGAAGCACCCGGACAGGCGAATATCCAGCAGATGGTCAGCAGGAGATGATGCAGCAGAAGGTCCGGAGTTGGTTAAGTTCCACTGGAGACGGCCGAAACCACCACCTGGCTGCGCGCGCACCTGCTGCGCGTACCAGGCCCGGGCACCTGTAGCAGGCTGGAGTTGAGTGGATCAGCGAAGCATCTGGATGGACAGTTTAACATCTGATGGTCAGCAGCAGATGACGAAGCAGCAGAGAGCTTGATGCTGGCTTTAATCCTCACGAGACGGCCGGCACGTCTTCCACGGCGCCTGGAGCGATGTTTTCGGGCGGGCAGAAACGCCGTGCGCTGCAGGTACACAGGGACATCAACAAGCAAAGGGGGTGGGGGTCCAGTGCCCCGATGAAAGTGGTCGAACAAGTCAGGGTTTGCAGTAGATAACTGTATATTTAAAAGTTGTTGACGATCATAAACAAGCAGTGAGTTTATTTCACCGACGAAAAATGACAAAAACAGAAAAAAAAAACAATCAAAACAGACAGAGGTGAACGGCAAGCCACCAGCACCGGCGCCATCTTCCCGGAAGTCACACAAAATATGTCTTATTCAGAGTTGTTCCAGTCACAAACTTCTCATTTAAATGTGGTCATACTGTGTCAGGGCAGGTGTGAGTGTGCCTACGTATACAGACCCTTTCCAAAAAATTAGAATATCATGGAAAAGTTGTTTAACTTCCATAATTCCATTCAAAAAGTTAATCTTTAATAGATGATAGATTCAGGGCCCACAATTTAAATGATTTCAAGTATTTATTTGTTTATTTTTACATAATTTGGGCTTCCAGCTCATGAAACCCACGAATACAGGATTTCAAAAAAATTAGAGTACTGTGGAGAAATCTGCCCAAATGTTGCAGGTCATGAATGTTGTAAACTGAGTGTGACACTAATCATCTACTAAACTCAAATCACCTGCACAGGTTTCCTCAGGTGTCATTAAATTGCTTCAGTTTGGTTCAATTGTCTCAGTTCGGTTCAATATGGGGAAGACTGCAGACATAACAACTGGCCAGAAGACCATCATTGATGCCCTCCAAAGGATGGGTAAGCCACAAAAGTTCATAGCTAAGGAGGCTGGCTGTTCACAGAGTGCTGTGTCCAAGCACATCAATGGAAAGTCTAGTGGAAGGGCAAAATGTGGCAGGAGAAGATGCACCAGCAAAAGAGATGACCGTGGGCTTTAGCAGATTATCAAACAGAGAAGATCCAGAATCTGTCAGAGATCCAGAAAGAGTGGAATAAGGCGGGAGTTGCAGCTTGAAAAACCACCACATTCAGACACATCCAGGAGATGGGCTATAACTGTTGGGTTCCTTGGTCCTTTTTTCTGATGAAAGTAAAGTGTCTTTCATTCAGAAATCAAGGTCCAAGGGTTTGGAGGAAGAAGGGTGAGGAACAGAACCCATACTGCTTGAGGTCCAGTGTGAAATGTCCACAGTCAGTTATGATTTGGGCTGCAATGTCCAGTGCAGGTGTTGGTAAACTCTGCTTTCTTAAATCCAAGGTCACTGCAACAGTCTACCAGAATGTTTTAGAGGACTTCATGATTCTTTCTGATGAGGATCTGTATGGAGATGCAGATTTCATCTTCCAGCAGGACCTGGCCCCTGCCCATGCCCCCAGAAGCACCAAAACCTGGTTTGATGCCCATGCCACAGTGCTTGACTGGCCAGCCAACTGGCCGGACCTAAACCCCATTGAGAATCTATGGGGTATTCTCAAGTCAAGTCAAGTCAAGTCATATTTATTTATAGAGCACAATTTAAAACAGATAGACTGTTATCAAAGTGCTTAAGAGGAACATGAGGGGTACCAGACCCAACAACAAAGAACAGCTGACAGCATCAAGGAAATCTGGGCTTCCATAACTCCCAGTCAATGCCACAGGCTGATTGTCTCAATGCCACGTCGCATCGAGGCAGAGATTAAGACAAAGAGATTCACAACCAAGTATTGAAGATTGACATATCGTTTTGAACGTACCATATTTCGATTAAATTGTTGTGATACTAATTTCTTTTTTTATTTTCTGCAAAAACTGAGAAGTCGTGTGGACTGATGTCGTCGCAGTATTCTAATTTTTTGAATTCCTGTTTTTGTGGGTTTCATAAGCTGGAAGCTCAAATTATGTAAAAATAAACAAATACTTGAAATTGGTTAAATTGTGGACCCTGCACCTATCATCTATTAAAGATTAACTTTTTGAATGGAATTATGGAAGTTAAACAACTTTTCCGTGATATTCTAATTATTTGGAAAGGGTCTGTATATGTATGTATGTACGTATATTTACACACATACATACATACATACATACATACATACATACATA